GGGACCGATCAAAGGGATCGACGTGACTCCCGTCGGATGGATACGAGGTATCCACGCCGAGACGGACGAGGCGACCGGGGCCGACCTCCGTTGCGCCAAGGGGTACAGAACGCCATCATGTACCTCCAAGATTGGGCTGGGGATCCGAACTCCCAGCCCACGGAAGGAGGCGGAGGAGAGCCCGTTCTCCCCGCCCCTCGAATATTGCAACGGCCGGACGTTGCAATCCAAGGCCACGAAGTATCCGATTACTTCGTAGAAGATGCCCAGTCGGGGTGGGGAAACTGTCCCCATCCGCGCGGCCAGGGGCCCGTCGACGCGCTAGCTAACGATAGCCAAGCGAATAGCACTGACAGCTCGGGTAGTTCGAAAACCCCGTAAAGACGATTACGTTCGCGCGGTCGCGTGAACCGTCTTGTCACACCAACCTAGACCCGCCCCTATTTATCCCCGGCGGGGGAGGCTGGTCACAAGATCTAGAACGGATCTATGTGGCACATGCAGGGCTAATGCTCCACCACACCATTTTGGGTTTCTTATATCTGGGGGCGACAAACGATATTTGAGGTCCAACACGCAATCTTGTTCACAAAGGTTTCTTGGTTCTACAATTCTGTCCCGTTTATCTTTGGACTGCTTCAGAGGATCAGTTTTCTTCTTTTTCTGAGTAACAACAAAATTTTCAATATATTTTGTCATGCACATATTTTCTGATGAGCACAATTGCTGCGCGATAGGGTCATAGAGGTATTCTGGTCGGTTAAAGTAGCTTTCGGCTATTTTATCTACTTTATTCAGAATGTCTCTGTCCTGTAAGCTTTTTTTGATTGTTTCAGGGTCTGGGAGATCAAAATCATCAATTTCTTTTGTATTCTCGTGTAGAAGTTCAGCCAACACTGAATTAGGCGAATCGATCTGTTCTTGGATTCCTGTAGAACTTGATGGAGTCTCTAGAGCCAGATAACATCGAGTATCAAGTCTCAATACCTTCGATGATGTGAATCGATGTGGAAATAAAAGTAGATTGGAAGCAGCCTCCGGTAGCCCTGTTGCACGGCACGTGTCCATATTTAGCAGTATTTTTCTAAGAGCAACTTTTGTATCGTTTTCTGCATCGAAAGATCTAATTTTGTTTATCACATCTCTTATGTTCGACGATTTATCCACTTTGGAAGTGTAATAAGTTACGTAAACAATAGAAGCAAAGGGGCTGCCACAGAGAACTGTCAGATCCATATTGGCTCTCTAAAAATGGAGAACGGGTACACTGTACTGATTCACTCTCGCGTGATTTCTCCTTAAAAGTATGCGGTGACTCGGGTTTTTATTTTGATCCCTGAGAACTACTACTCTAGTATTGTTCGCAACAGAAAAAGGAAACTTGCTTTTGCACAGTTGGGTGCCATTCTTCGTACAGTATGGTGAACAGTGATGTAAGGTGACAGATCGGACCAAATTATTAATAGAACGGCGCACATCTGAATGAACAAAATATTCTTGAAGTGAGCAAGCCCTATCCGTGATGCCTTCGAAAACTTCACTTCGTGGCAGGGGTCCAAGGCTTCCGACAGTATTACTTTCGGTGTATTCATCTACTTTATCTGAGAGATCATATCGCGATTTTAAGCTTTTGCTGTATACGTGGAGCATGGCGCTCGCAAGTGCCTCAGCTTTGAGCTTAACATCTTCCTGCTCTCCATGGAGGTCTCCCGTTTCTGTGAGCTTTAGTTGGGGGACAGCACCTTTTGTCCAGAACAGGAAGTGTGCATGTTCTGAAAGTCTTCCTTGCCATTCAGCCTTCTGCACGTAATGCGTGACTTCTCCAAGAGGTTTTGATTCGCCTCGAATAACGAAATTGAAAAACGCTTGAAGTCGCTTTTTTCAAGCCATTGTCATTTGTACAGGATTGTTTGCGAGCATGTCGGCGCGTTCGCTCACAGAGAACTCTTTCGCTTGTACGACGGTAAGTGTTCCCTTTGAAATCTCAACGAATCCTTCGGTCCACATGCTGTCTGCAGAGGAAAGAGTGAGAAAGTAGGAAGGTGGTCCGTGTTTTTTCATCATTAACAATATGTCGTTTCTGAATTTTCTCATGTCCGATAGAGATCCCGGGAGTTCATTCATGAATACTCCAATTTTATTCGCGAGAGATCTCAACTTTGTATCTGGAATATCCATTCTTCGTGGAGATTGTGCGATCTCAACTAGTTCTTTAACAGCTCCTTCGACAGATGAGCTTATGGGCCTATGAGCTGTTAACCTCGTGATTCTCTGCCTTCTTAGCACGATATTTGAATACGACAGGAATATCACGTGATTGTGAAATCGTAAAGATTGTATTTTAATGACGTAGTTGATCCATTCTCTCAATGATACTTTAATGTGTACACAATCATCTGGGCCACCTCTCCCCTTCCTGAGAAGGCACGGAAACAGAAGTTGCCAACCACTTGTTGCCAATTTTCCGGTGTACAGTTGAGTCCTTTTTTTAGCGACGGCGTCGAAAAGATTGGTGACTGTGTTTACTATTTGGTTTCTTGAGTCTGACGCTTCAATTGTGATCGGTGCTGTAAGAGCCGTTTGTGCGACTTGCTCTTCAACCACTTGATTTTGCCCAATATTTCTAACACTTTCTGCCGCTGTAGGCGCTTGAACTGGAGCATTGCTGCCATTGATATCTATCGCATGCCCGACATGAGGTTCCACGTCTGTAGCTTTACCTAATGCTTCGTCATCAGGAAAATCGCTAGAAGGAAGTAAGATCTGATTAAAAGGTGGATTCGGGGTCTCGTAGTGTTTTTCTATGTTGTGTTTGATCTGCTCCAAGTTTTTTTCGCTAATTTCTATGGTTTCATATGCGGGGTGATGTTCTTTCAGAAACACGAAAGCTGTCCGAAGTCTCTGAACATGGATGCTAATATCTGAATGTCTGTACGTATCCTTAATGTTCACCACTACCTCGGACAAAGTCCTTGGGAGAACTTTTGCTATCTCTTGAACTCGATTGTAGAACGCAATTTATTGTCCTTTCGATTGGTACTGTCCAAAGGTTTTGTACCTCCACAACCATACCATTGGAAGAACAGGACTAATTAGCATCTGCTCTACAAAGGATAAATCTTGAAGCTCCGGTACAGGCTCTGGGAGCGGTATATTAGCCCTGCTAAACTTTGGGATGTTTTCTGCTTTCTTTCGTAATACTTTGGTGCAAATGGAACAAACAGACAGCTCCTTGTCCCCGGGGCTTGCATATTTCCGCCATGATTCATTTTGCTCAGAAGACAATTCCTGAAGGACCGAAAAGATTCTGTCATTGCAGCTATACGCTGTTGGATGCCAATTTATTCTTAGCCCACATACTGCACATGAAACATACATACTAGGAACTGTAACTTTCTCCCAGAATGTTCTCAAATCTTTATCGTAACTTTCCCCGAGTTTTTCAAGTCCAGAGCATCCGTGTCATTTTCAGGCTCATTGTTCTGATTGATCGTCCGCCATAACCCTTCTCTTCTAAGCGTATTTAAACTTCTATAGGATGCACGTGTGTTTGAAGGTGAATCATGAGAAGTAACTGCATGGCTACAAATAAATGCTCTTCGTAGGATCTGCGTTTCACGTTTCTGCTTCAATCTTTCATCACGCTTCATTTTGGGTTCCATCCCCGCCTGATCTTTTCGGAATTGTTCATCTTACGTAGTCTTAGTGCACGTTCCTCTGCACTTTCATTGGCAAGCTCCACTGATTTTCTGAGACTGTCCTTGATTCTAAGCTCTTTAAATACATCTTTTCCGATTTGGGCGGTTTGTCGACGTTTCGTCTTACCTTTTCTAAACGATTCAGATATGCTCCTTCTTTTCTGATTTTCCCTGTGTTTTCCTTGCTTCTTCTGAATTAAGTTTTCTGGATTTGTCGTTTCAGACATTAAGTCTCCGACTCCAGCTGCAAACTGGCTTCGAGTGAACGGCATTTGAATGAGTGCTTTTATGACCTGTTTTAACGAAATCCCGAAAGGTTACAAGTGATCTGAGTTTTAGGAGCTGGGAGAATACTGTGTAACCGCACAGACCGAAATGTATCGACCGGGCTTGTTGGGTTGAAAGAGAACAAAGAACGCCCCAATTTAATAAGAAGAGCAGAATAACAGTAGTTTCAGATATGCAATACAAGTCACTCCTTTGTTTTTCAAGGCTCTATTTTACCCTTACTGCGGCTACCGAACTACTGGCATACATATATATTCTTAAAACGCGAAACCGTTTTAAGAATTTGAGAATCTATATTTTTATTTTTGTACTTGTAATAGCGGTAATTTGTAAAAAAACACTGATTTACACCAGCACTCGCAGATAAGGTTACGGACCGCCTGGTACCAACTTGACTGTTACTGTAACAAATTCTCGCAACTTATCCTCTCACACCGTTCTTATAATTGCTCAACTTTTAGAAAGGCTCACGTAGGTCTTTTCCTATATAAACAAAGAAACTGGAAGCGAAACTTTCAAAGAAACTCAGGCAGCAAAAGAACTGAAAGTGAAAATCTTACAGAAGCAGAACAGAACACAATGGGGAACGATAAAGAAATGTATTTCATGAACTGACTGAACTAGGTACGGTTAAATATTTAATGGCCGTCATAAAAAACCTAGACGAGGTATGGAGGTGGAGTGCCATCATTTTCTGTGATGTCACTTTGGTTCACTCGTTGGGAATTCAGAGGACATGCATATCGTGTATGTCAGAATTGTGTATGTCAGAATTGTGATAAATGCGTTTGTCTCCCCGTGTTCGCATCGTTTCTCAAAATAAAAACTCAACCTGTACTACACAAAGCATCGTTGCATAGCGACATTTCCATCATGGAGTTAGATAGAGAAGAGCAATCTACCAAGGAGAACTCGGTTCTCACAATGAAGGGACTGTTTTTAAGCGCTGTGCTCATGGCGCGGGAATCTCTTGGGCAATTTGACTTCTACGAAGACAAAGAAGCAAAAAAGGGCATGGATCAATGGCTGCTGCTTGCTAAAGACGGCGATCCTGCGTTATTTTACGTTCCTTCTAGTATCACCGGACTTAATGTGACACCAGCCGGAGCTGTACAGCAGCGCAAACCCAACACCATACATGACGAATATTCTGTGAGAGTTCGCATAGAAGACGAAAATGTGCTCGAGGAAACGAAAGAAGGATTCGATGTGGCCATCGAGAAGCTGAAACACACCCCAGATGTTTGTGCTTCAATTGCAATAGCATCCGGTTTAGTTGAAAAAAAATCTTCTTTCTCTCTGGAGGAAACTGACGTTGTTATCAAGGTTTCGAACTTTGTCCGGGACACATTGTATTTCAATAGAAAGGTTGCTGGCTTGCATGATCCTTCTACAAATGTTGAACAAGCGCCTGACTTTTTTTCGGTCTACCCAAAGCAAGGCAAACAGTACCCTCAACTCTTGTTTCCGGTCCGTTGTCACTTGAATCCTATGATACCAGTCGTTGGAAATGATTCGCTTCCGATATCCCCAGACGCAATTCATCTGCTTTGCCAGGGCTCCGTTTACTTCGAGCTAAAACAAAGTGCTTACAGCTTTGAAGGCGTTAATGGGCGTGTGAAACAGATAGTTCTCGTTCCTAGTATTGTTGCAGTCCGTGTAGAACCGCCGTTACGAAGAGCACCAACTCCAGCTTCTATTGCCAAAAGACGCATATTGTCTTTCTAGATCCGGGCCACTGGCAAAAATAAACGCATGTATTTGGAGTTCTCATCTTTCAAGCTGAGATTAGCTCAGGTCAACTCGTGCTTGCCATCCCGACGTGCTCCACCTCCATCCCCTTATGGCGTGATGAGGTGGTAAGGGGGGTGGAGATGTGACAGATGAGTATGGCGGAGGGTGGTATGGCGCAGTGGCGTGGTTGGGGCTTGGCGGGTTGTGTGGCGATGGAGGGAGACGATGGTGGGAGGATATTGCGGGCGGCGATGGCGGGAGGAGATCAGGGGTGGTGATGAGCGGGGTTTTGGTGCAAGGATGTTTTGCTGGAGGTTAAAAAAGGAGAAAGGACATAGGAAAGCTGTGTAATGAAAAGAAGAAGAAATACATGGGCAGGGCGAAAAAGTAATTTTGATATAAAGTCACACAGGGTCCGGAGTAGTTACCAACATAACGCCACATGCAGCGCATAGATCTGCTGCACATACTCACCAATCACATTTATCATAATTGTGACATACACGATATGGATGTCCTCTGAAGTCCCCACGAGTACATCAAAGTTACATCACAGAAAGGATGGCGGGTGAAGTGTCGCGGGATGGTGTGGCTGGGGATGGTATGGCGTGGTGAGGTGGTAAGGGGGGTGGGGATATGACGGAGGAGTATGCCCCATAGTCATAGTGTATCACCTTCCTTCTCGTGATCGCGCCACCTTTCCGGCGGCACTGTGCAATTAAAAAAAGAAGAAAGAAATTGGCGGGGCGAAAACATAATTTGGATATAGTCACACAGGGTCCAGAGTAGAGCTCCGCAATAACTAAATTCTTTACAAACGGTTTTGGAGGCCGCTCTTTGAGAGCTGCTTCCAAACACCACTTCCCATCCATCACAGCACCAATTACACTGCAGGCTTCGCCTGGAACCGCCGCCCAAACGCTTGAATACGTGTGAAAAGAGATGTCGAAAAGCCCATCGGTCGGCCTCTCAAATGAAAGAGGATATCTCACAGCCAATCAATTTTATCTCATACAGTACCACATTTTGCTCTACAAGCGCAGAAGGACGCATCAACCAAGTGTAGAGAACCCTCATGAGGCCGAATTCCTCATTCTCTGCTCTTTTCCAGCTACACAACTCTCCTGTTTTGCGCCCGCTGCCGTGCGAAAAGGCGACCCTCCTTCATCGAGCGCGGTAGCTTTAAAGCCTCTCTATAAAGACGCACACGATAGTGTAAGGCATCCAGTTCAAATTGTATGCGCTGAGGTCGCTTTGCCTCATACACCGTTAACCACTTCTGCTCTGGGCTACTCTTTTTTGGACTTTCCCGTGCCTTCTTCGCTCTCTCAAAAGCTTCCGTCTGTCTCACCATGTTCATGGCAGCCTCACTAATTAAATTTAGACCAGTACTTGTATCCACAAACCCGCGCCATAACACGGGAACTTGTAAAAGCATACCCCTTCGAATACTACATCTCTTCTCTGCTAACAATGACGCCAATGACTCAACACTGACTATTGTAGATGGTGCGCTTTTCGAGACAGGACGGGGGACGGACAGCAAATCTCCGGCACCAATTGGATTAATTCCTGTCCTCGCAAAGGCAGACAGTATGTTTTCCCTTGTAAACGCCCGTTCATACGCGTCACGCATAAAAATGCAAAGGTCAAAGAGGTCGTAATTGGTAGCATCGACAGACTTGGCGGCAGTGGTAATACTATTTCGCATAAAATGTTTAAAAGAATTAAACACTGAAACGTACAAGGGCTGTGTAGTTGCACTTGTGTGTGACAGTAGCGCATACGCAATTATATTGTTCCTCTTCAGTATATCAAGGGCTTTTAAGCTCATGTGACTTCTATACCCATCATACTGTAAAAAGACTTTCTGACCATGTCTCGTTTTCGATCGACATTCCAGACCAAAGTCGCTTGCCCATCTCTCGAAATTGAATTTGTCAACCCCTGCCACATCTTCGTGAGTAGTAATGTAGCTGCCGCTAGGCAAACAATCTGCCAAAGACTGAGTCGCACGCACACCATTAACGTGAACTATTCGGTAGGGTAACGTCCGACCTTGAACTACGAACAAAGGTCGCCCGCACCCGCCATCTGCAAACACAACAGCCATCATTGTCACACGGCCCACATTCTTGAAATGTGCCGATCTCATTTGATTCTTACTACCCATCGTCCGCATGCTTCTCCTCATTGCCACTTTTCCTGTGAGCTTTCCCTTCGTATCGCGATTAGAGGTGACTCCTGTTTCGTCGATATTTGCTATGTGTGAAGGTGGGATATTGTTTGTCTCAATAATGTGCTCAACCGAGGCAATGTGTGTTGTGGGATAACTCCTCTCCGCCCTGGGTTGGGTGAGAGGCGGAAGCTTTAGCGAGAGATCAGGCGGCCCGGACGCGACGCGCTAATTGAACCGATCGGACGAGGTCTCGAAAAGGAAGTTGCTCACTGGCCGGCTACGCGCAGTTGCCCCGTGGTGCGTAAACGGGAGCGACCGGTAACGGGTTAGAAGCCAGCGCGCGCGATAGACAACCGAAACAGACATATGTAGGCGCGAAAGGGACGGGGGCGAGCTTGCCCCAGTTTACTGGTGGGGACGGGTGTCAGGCCTTAACCCCTCAGAGGGACGCCTGGGACACCTGTCCTAGTGTACAGTACCTGCCGCCTAGTGCAAACCAGGTACTGTACGCAATTAAAAAACTTGCGCCTCAATTCCTAATTACCGCGCGGACGCTGCAGCTACACGTATGTACTGCTGTACACACGTGCTGCTTATAGACTACCGCACGGATGCCACGTGTGCTAGCGTACACCGTGACAAGACGGAGAAGGGCCAGAAAACTGAACCGTCGAGACCGTACGCCAGATTACGACCGCTCGGCACGCGCGCGCGCTCGCTACACGTGGGCACAACCGCCCACGTGTATACCGTACACGGCCGTCTGATGACCTCTGCGCGCTCGCGCCGGTCATTATACTACATGTGTCGTCAGGGCTGTTGCGCTTGTGGCTGACCACCGCTCCGCTTCTTGCAGTGAAGGTCCCCCGATAAAAATCTTCTTCATATTTCGCTTCCTAAATCCTTTCACCCATTTTTCGCCTGAGCGACCATTAACGAAGCGAAGTGACTCACGACGTTCATGAAACATCATGGAGATGATGATCTCTGCGGCATCTTTTATGTCAGAAGTGCTGAGCGGGTGACCTTTGTCCGAATGCTGAAGACAGAGAGATACAATGGTTGCTTCTTCATTCTCTGTAAATTGGGTGCGAAGGAATGTGGGCTGGTGGTTGAGTTTTTTATAACGGTTGATCGATGGTGGTATTTGTAGTAGAACGTGCTACGAGCCATGCCCACGCGCCTGCCGTGTCTGTGAGTGACAAGCCAGTCTCGAAGGCATCGAAAGCATTAAGCAAAGCCTGAAGTCGTCGTTGGGCGGGAACCTGAGAGAGAGCCATGGTAAGCAGGGGTTCTTATGTCTCTTGGGGAGACCATGGACGTAGGGATGGGGATAAAGATGGTGAGGGAGCTACATTGGTACTGTACTACCCCCTCTCAAATGATTCGCAAGCGCCTTTGCGCCCTGCCTTAAATTTGGGCGGGGAATTCGAATCCGGGATCTTCTTGGCGATCGCATTTGAAGCCTGTCCAGGTTATGGCGTTTTACCTACTTGAAACCCGTCTTTGAAAGCAACTAAGCACCGTTTTCCAAATTTTTAATAGTTTTATGGTCATTTAACTTTGAGGGCGGTCGTTTGACTTTGAGGTCTGGTACTGTTATATCGTGGTCACTACTGTACGTACAGGATGAGAGGTGCGACGGCGGGAAAGTATGGCGACGAGTACTCAGTACTCAGAGGATGCAGTTTTTTAGTCGTGTTTTACAGGCTTTTAGCAGTGTGCTTTGTCCCCAAATATATGTATTTGAGCCTCGTTTATATATTGCCATCTCTCCAATAGTGCCATAGCTAGAGGAATGTCATGCTATAGCACTATATCGTAGGAGTCACTAGGTCTCCTACGCAAACATCAGAATTTCGTTGAATTGCCCGGCCCTTTCCAAATGATTGCCATCATTGGGAAGTGACCCTGTCATTCCCGAAAATATACCGCAAAGCGCAAATAATTGCGATCATGCCAACAGCTTACAGAAAAGCTCATAACATTTAATCATATACCCGATGACTAGGCGGTGACCAGCCGTCCTGACTGCAGCCCATGGGCTCACGACCAAGCACATCGAGAACATGTCGGAGTAGAAAGTGGAAGGCACTTACTGAGATCAAGTTGATGTTTCTACTGTATCACGACGATATGGAGAATCTATTTCATTGATCGATTACACTACTGCTCATCCGGAGTGCAAGTGATCGGAGTGTCTCTTGCACTTAATTCTCAATATGCCCTGGTACCGTGTCATCCTGTTTGGTTTATTTGGATCCTTGATGGAGACTAATTCAGCGAGAACGGAACAAAATTCAGCAGACAAATTGACACATTCCTACAGCTACTTGCTACTTCACTTTAAAGTTAGATTAATCCCTTGTAGGTCAGTATGGATAACTCTGAAATCTGTCACAATGCAAAAAGGGCAGCGACCGACTCAACTCAGTCGGCTTGGCCATCGACACAGTCAAGAATAAAACTTGAAAGAATACAACTCGCCCTAAACTGTTGCCTCATTGTATTAGCGCGTTTCTCGCGGTAGCGCTTTGGAATACGGGGTCAGCGCTCCAGCTGACTGTTCCCAATGTAATACCAACGATTTGTGAGCTGTTAATAAAAACGCATATCCTGTTCACGCAAAGGCTTCCACCGTATATGAAAATTAGTCAAACCCTGCATGTTTTGAAAAACAACTAAGTTTGATTCTGAACCAGGCTCTTTCATACTCGACGACACCTCAAAGCCATTGAGAGTCACGGATACTTCCACCTTGTATCCGTATAATTTGTGCTTTCTACTGAAATATTTTTTCCCTTCCGCAATGCTT